CTGTTAAATCAATTGTTTTAAATTAGGAAGACATGTTTCTACCAGGGCAGGAAGAAAGAATACTAATTCTTAATTGCCAAATCATCCAAGCCTTTAGAAGCAATTTAATTAACAAGCAATTCCTTGTACATATCGTCTCTGATGTGTCACCAGAGAACTGAGGAGATCAGTTCCAAAAATATATGGAGGATTTATTACGTCATGGGCAGGGCTGCCCCGAGGGCAAGGTTAATGGGACAAGCTGGACGTGTCTTGATCACCGGCTTCCTCTTTACTAATGACATCATCCACAGAAAAAGAGCACAGCCGTAGCGCTAACATTTTACAAGGGCCGAAAGATCATCGGTGACAAGTGACAGGTCATTACTTCCATACCCATGACACCGAAGTGCGACGCAAGTGGAAATGACGTACCACCAACATCCGGGGCATGACTGTAAGACAAAAGCAACAAAAATGACAGGACACTTGCAGGAGGCATATCAAATAGGGGGTCAGATGGTCCTCATTTAGACCAAAGGGTGGAAGACAGGTTCTTCTCCAAACTGCGACACCGGGTGAGCTACAGATTCCAAAGGTTTCCTCAGAGCTCACGAGCCCAGAGCATCCTTCCAATATTGGCAGGCGCGGGGTTGCCATCCCCTATCCCTTACATCAGCCAGAACAGTGCTATTTAGTCTATATTATTGATTGGAGTCTACATACGATGCTATCAACAGAAAGAACCCATGGAGGAAAACCGCTAGGAACAAAAGGAACACGTCTATGTGAGGGGTTCCGAGCTACACAAGACGAGTTCAAAACCAAGCTGACCGGAGGGCAGTCCTGCCACAGCCTTTGGATCTGCCCACCTCTGTTAGCACTTTTCACCTGGAACACCGTGACATTCAAGCAACGCTAGGAACATACCGTAACACGGCTCCAGCAGCCACGGATTGCTTAATTAAGCCACAGGACGTAGCCGATCAAAGAAGAGTGGAAGGCCCTGGAATCCAGTCCCAATTCAAAACCAGGCAGCCATGACTTCTGCATTCCACATGTGATCTGGAAAATCAAACGCTAGCACGCACGCTGGCCTTCCAACACGCGGTAGAATTGCCTAACAAAGCGCTCTACACCGTCCGAAAGGAGCTTCGCAAATGTAAGGCCGCTCCCGTCAACTATCATTCTAGCGCTTTCCGAACAGTGTGCGAGACCAATGTTTAAGGACTACAATGAATCTCCTCCAGTGAGCCTCACAGTTCCCGCCAAAATTATTCAGTAAGGGAACTTCTGGTAGAAGTGGCAAGGTGTCCACAGGGGCCGACCCCCATATGTTGCCATACTTACAGCACTGTCTGCGTGGGGGAGGCCTACCTAGGGAGCAGATGCAAGCACCATCCAGCCCCAAGGCTGGGGGGGGGGGGGGGCTCTGGTCCTTCCCACCAGGCATGAGGGTTAACCTAGGTCTCAATTGTACGTCAAGGACACTGAAGGCGAGATCCAAATACCAAGGAGAAGCAGGAATCGAGATCAGGTTACCAGCCTAGGATGGACCGGGAAGACTGAAACGGATACACCAGTAGAGTTGGAACAGTAGAGAAAAAACTCTGTGGGAGGGTTGAAAGAACAAGACAAGCGAGGCCCATCCTCGAGAAAGGGGAAATGCCTGAAACCCTTCAGTCCAAGGTCACATTGCTAACTCAGTGTGGCCTAAGCACCTAATCTGAGACAGCCAGTCCGTCTTTCTGAGTTGCACAGATGAGTTCTCAGGTTGAAGACTGAATGCTCATCATAGTATCAACCCTGACAACCTTGACCGGACACGTTCCCATCCCCACCTGCCTGCCTGCCATCGGTTTCATCCTCCCACGAGAGGTCAGCCTCGCTCAACGGTCAAGCCTCTAACAAACAACTCCACTGCCCTCCGTCTGCAGGGGCATCAATCCCTTTCTATCCCTTGACAACCTGAGGCTGTCATACCACTCCATTCCAGCCCACGGGCCTGAACTCTTTCTAACTCTTCACTCCTGTGTCCCCAGATTTGCTCAGACATGCTGATTCGGATCATCTGAGGACCTGACTCTGCTGGGTGTTTGTCCCAGACATGAGTTTCTCTAACCCTAGCCCAGAAACCTATTCCCGATGCCAATGCCTTCCTCAAACATTTGATCTGAATGTCGGGCCTTTCCCCATTACAATTAGCCCCGGAAGAGAGCTAACCAGACACCTACTTTACTCTTAGAGGACAGGGTCTGTGTGGGTCTCATTTTTTTCATTTAGTGGTTATTCCAACATCATGCGAAATGGGGTATTAAATAAATGTTATTTGCTGAAGATGCTGATTGAAGCCCGAAGTACCCTACCAGAGCCGAAGGTGGTCCCTCCTGAGCTTTAGGAGACCTGGTGGCCAGGACAACGGCTTTGCCCTGGGCAGCCCCGTGACTCAGTCAGTCAGGAGACAAGACAAACCAGCTGTATCACTCCCCATCACAGAAGAGGAAGACCTTTTTCCCACAAGTGTGCGATTAAAACTGAAGGGTCAAGATTTTCCACATCTTAGGTCCTAATGCCGAACCTCACTGGCAGCTTCAGGAACTGTCTTCGGGCCAAAGGTCAAGAAATTGTTGGCGTGCCTGGGTGGCTCAGTAGGATAAGCATCCAAGTCTTGATTTCGACTCAGGTTACGATCTCCCTGTCATGAGATCGAACCCCACGCCCAGCACAGAGGCTGCTTGGGAAGCTCTCTCCCACTCCTTCTGTGCCTCCCACATGCACATGTGCCCTCTCTCTTTCCCTCTCTCTTTCTCTCTCTCTCTCAAAAAAAAAAAGAGAAATTGTTGTATGTACAACTCTTACACATGCTGTATGCTACCTCGCTGAGTTTGATTTATTATATCTTAGCTGATTTTTAGATTACATCTTGGAGATAACCGTTTCTACTAACTAACAGGTCTTTTCAGACATTTCTTAGAGGTGGCAAAATAAACTTGGGGAAGGGCTCCCTCAAAACTAAAACTCAGGGGCGCCCCTGGTTGGCTCAGTTAGAAGAACATGTGACCCTTGATCTTGGGGTCGTGAGTTCAAGCCCCACATTGGGCTTAAAATAATTTAAAAAAACAAAACTAAAAATGAGGAATAATGATAATAAAACCAGGCTAATACCACAGTCCACTTTTGTACAGAACTGCAAATAGGTCTTAAGGATGACTTATTTCCAACATAAGCTTAGTATCTACTAAGTTAACCCCTCCATATTCCCCAGTGCATAGTAAAACACTAGTATAGTGCGTTTCTCATTTTACCAACAACCAGGGAAAACTCACAGGAGTGCGAACCACTGTCTCCCACTCTTTTAAATTTCTGTAGTCCTATCTCAAGGCTGAACACAGAGGGCGCTTAGTAATCAGGCTGTCTACGTCACACCTAATGTCTTGATCACACACTGTCCCTGGGTGTTTGCTCTTGTCCATCTGTCCACGTGCCTACGTGATAAGGAATACACTCGCTCAGGTGTGATGAAAGGCTAAGCTTTTTCAGAGAGACCCACAAGATACACATTTAAAACCTGCAGTGGCTGGGGCGCCTGGGTGGCTCAGTCAGTTGGGTGTCCAACTTCAGCTCAGGTCACGATCTCACGGTCTGTGAGTTTGAGCCCTGCGTCGGGCTCTGGGGTGATGGCTCAGAGCCTGGAGCCTGCTTCCGATTCTGTGTCTCCCTCTCTCTCTGCCCCTCCCCCGTTCATGCTCTGTCTCTGTCTCAAAAATAAATAAACGCTAAAAAAAATTTTTTTTTTAAAAAACTGCAGTGGGAGGCAAACACCAGTCTGCAAATTGGTATCAAACTGTCATGTATGTGAATGGAAAAACCCTCTTCCAGTGTCATATGACGTCATGGAATCCAATGGTACGCCCCACCGATAGGTCGGTTGATAACGTCACATCACCACCTTCCCCACACTAAACGGACCCACTTGCTCAAGGATTCAAGGTGATAAGGAGCCTGGGTGGCTCAGTCAGTTCAGCGTCAGACTTCAGCTCAGGTCATGATCTCACGGTTTGTGAGGTCGAGCCCTGAGTTGGGGCTCTGTGCTGACAGCTTGGAGCCTGGAGCCTGGAGCCTGCTTTGGATTCTGTGTCTCCTTCTCTGTCTGCCCCTCCCCTGCACTCTCTCTCTCTCTCTCTCTCTCAAAAATAATAAAAACATTTAAAAAATTGAAAAAAAAAAGAATTCAAGTTGATAAACACGGGGCACCTGAGTGGCTCAGTCGGTTGAGCGTCCGACTTCGGCTCAGGTCATGATCTCGCGGTCCGTGTCTCCCTCTCTCTCTGCCTCTCCCCCACTCACATTCTGTCTGTCTGTCTGTCTCTCTCTCAAAAATAAAGAAACATTCAAAAATTAAAAAGAACTCAAGTTGATAAACAAACGGAGACAGTACCAACTGATAGGTATAGATGTGAGAGTTACCCATCTGGAGGTCCCATGACCCCCTCCAAGTATTTCTTAAGAGCTGGGATTTTCAAAGCCACGCCAACAGGGGCTCTGAAAATAAGGTCAAATTACAAACAGCAGACAACAACTTCCTATTTTCACTCTTAAATGCCTTCAAAACTTGAATGAGCACTACAGGGTTTCTAAAGTTCTCAAATTAAGAAAAACTTCCTTCAAGTCACAATGAAGCAAGTACCTTCTTCATTTCCCTTGAAAACCTACTGACTGTGGCCAAAGTCGACACAGATTACTAAAACAGATGATGATAACGGTCAACATAGTAAAACGCATGGAGTGCAGGCTGAAAATCGCAGGACATAATTATTTAAAAGCGCTTTCCCTAGTACCTGGAAGAAAGTTTAGAAGCTTTAGTTACATAGGATAGCTCTCCCTTAAGACCCAGCCAAGTAAAAGCGGATGTCATGCACAGACAGCATACAGGAGAGCAGTGCAACACTCATCCAGAAAAATCTCAATAAAATGACTTCCCACTTCCATTGCAGCGGCACAAAATAAATATAGAGGAATCATTTCACGTTCCAAGAAGAGTACCAGTTTATTTCAAGAGATAAGCCAAAGCAGAGGGCGTAGCCTATGCGTCTTTAGAGGTCTACAGTTCACGTGCAAGATTTTGCAGACGTATGCAGCATCCTAAGAAAAAGGTCCACAGTCGTCATCACAATGCAAAAGAACAATGACCAAAAACGAGATGAAGAACCATACAAGTTTTCCCCATCATGAATTTCTCATCGGTTTATATGACCCCACAAAGAGAAATGCTCAACAGTGAAGGAGGCAAAAACAGTTAGAGTAACATTTTGCTCACAGTAAACTTTAACACAGAGAGCATCTTCTATTAATGTGATGCGAATCCCCTCCCAAAAGTCAATTATGACACTGAGGCGCCTAGTCAATCAAGCCACGTTGAAAAAGTCTCCAAACAGGCGTTTCGACAGGAAGATGATTAGCCGACACTGTCTGCAAACCCATTCTCCATTGCGTAAACTGAGGCATTTACTGCTTCCCGTAAGAATTGTAACTCGGATCCCCTTTTGCCTTTTTCTTTTTAAACCGCCACCCCCAACACTGTCCATTTTCCAGTAACATCTGAGACACAGGGAACATCTGCTCGACATCTAAACAAACAAATGGACACGTTACAACTACGCGGGCCCCACAGGAGTCGGATGGACGGCATCGATGCGTAACAGGCACCGACATCAGCCCGCCGAGGACAGCCTGTGGGGCCGATCTCCACTCCGGGCCACTCTGCTGTCTTCTTCACATGAACGTATTAGGCGGCAGACACTCACAGCAAGGACGGAATGTGACGGCATTATCACGAGGTACGCGTTTCAAGTCCAGCTTTCGAACCGGGGAACAGGGCAGTACTGAGTGGAGATGAAAAAACAAACAGAAGCCGAGCCGGTCAGGGCCGAGTAAGGTTGAGGTTAGTGGCAACAGCATGTGCGTGGTTTCCAGGAAACCTTCAGTGAGACTGCTGTTAGCCCTAGCCCCGCACCTTGCCCAACCCAGTGCGCTGCCTCTTCGTCCAGCTCCCCGCCTGGCTCGGTGCAGCACTGCCCTGCTCCCAGGGGTGCGGCCGCCCAGCCTGAACTCACCTTGGCAGCGGAAGGGCCTGGAGTTGAAAACACGTTAGCGCATCATGCCAAGAGCGCAGCGAACACGCGCACTTCACCCCCTCGGCGCTTCCGGAGGGGAGGGAAACACATCAGCCTCGGGACGGTTCACACCCTCGAAGGATTTGGAGAAACGGTTTTACAAACACCCACGTTCGCCACACAAGCCGGGAGAGGACAGAACAACAGTGGAGTGACTGCACCAGGAAGTTGCACCTAACGGCTGAAAGCACCGGAAAAAGAAGGACGGGCGTCACCTACTTTAACTGCCATTATCTGCCCACTTGGTTTGTGGACCATTTTGTTGACGGAACCGTAAGCTCCTCGTCCGATTTCTCCAAGGTCCTTCAAGTCCTCCGCGGTGAAATCCCAGTGCTGCTCAGGAGAGATCTTCAGTTTTCCCGACGATTCGATGCTGTGTGTTCTCAGCCTCTCTCTGTTAAAATACCGGGAAGCAATTGTGCCACATTTTAAACAGGTTTGGACTTTTTTTCTGATAGCTAGCACTGATGAACGCCTGGGAAAAAACACGGTCTGACCTCCAGGGTTTTCGAGGGGTTGTTTTTTTTTTTTTGCTTTGTTTTGTTTTGTTTTTGTTGTTGTTGTTTTTAGTGGGTTGTTTTTGTTTTTGTTTTTTGTTTTTTTTTGCATCGTCTTCTTTTTTTTGACACACTGACTTCATTAAGGAAGGCCTAATTTAGGGAGTCAATGATCATAGCTTTAAGAGGATTCAGAAAACCAAGGTTCCATTGACTGAAGAAAGTAATTCTATAGACTCGTGAGAGCTTTCTCAAACCTTTGCAAAACTGCATTGTTAAATGCAGACGCCCAGGAGTGACAGACCTCATTTCCAGAAAGTTCTTACCCAACCTTACCCGACATTAATACTCCAGGCCCTCAACCTGTGGCACAGGCACTCCCAAACTTTGGTGCACATTAGAATTTCCTGGCGAGATTCTTAAAATCTGGATGCCCAGGTTACCATCTCATAGCAATTAAATCAGAGTATCTGGGGGCAGGAGTCCAAAAGACCCAGTATTTTTAAAGATCCCAGGTGACCCCAGCAGAGTTTGGGAACTAACACCTTACCATACTGCCCTGTCCCTGTCCCTGTTTATGCCATGCTGGGGTAGGGGATTAGTTACATAAATAGCCAGCAGGCACTAAGAGAAAAACTGTCATGTATTATTCAAACTTGAACCTCTCAGTCTTTGTTCACAGATATAGCAACGAGGTGAAAACTAAATGATTCATGGACAAAAGGACCCACTCCTTACAGATTTCCATTACGTTCTAAAACCATCTCCAAAATTCTAACCTGAAGATCAAAGGATGAACTTGTAACCATGCTTTGTAAAAAAGCAAATCCGGGGCGCCTGGGTGGCTCAGTCGGTTAAGCGTCTGACTTCGGCTCAGGTCATGATCTCGCGGTTCGCGGGTTCGAGCCCCACGTTGGGCTCTGTGCTGACAGCTCAGAGCCTGGAGCCTGCTTTGGATTCTGTGTCTCCCTCCCTCTCTGTTCCTCCCCTGCTCTCACTCTGTCTCTCTCTCTCACTCTCTCAAAAATAAATGAAGATTAAAAAAATTAACAACAACAAAAAAAGCAAATCCAAAATGAAAAATGGGAAAACCACCTCATGGGTGTCTCTTTCTCCCCTGCCCCCACAGATCAATGCAGTAATGAACTCTATCAAGCCAGGGAGGGCAACAGGCCAGAAAAAGATTCTTGAATATCATTGATATTTTTCTTCAATTTCATACGAAATGGTCAGACTCTCTTTAAAATCTGATCAGGTAATACAAGCAAGAAAAGTTGACATGCTTATTTCTTTTACTTCTTCCAAAATACAGAAATGTTTTCTCAGGTTACTGGAACTGATTTTTGTAGCTACTTTTAAGGTTCTCAAAATATTCAGAATTTTAAAATCACTTCCCCAGAATTCCCACATATACTAGTATTCATAATTACCATGCCTCAAGACTGTAGTTCAAAGACTAATACACTTTGTCTAAGTAACCACTTCGGGAACCCACATTCCCAATGCCAGATTCCAGGATCATAATAAGTCATACTACCAGCTTTTCTTCACGCAAATTCTTGTCTTGTTTAGGACATATTTTCACCAACCAAACCTAGTGACGAACTGTCTTAGTAATCTTTTTCATGATGCAGAAGTATCCTAACGTAAAGAAGATTCGTTTTTGGGGCGCCTGGGTGGCTCAGTCAGTGAAGCGTCCAACTCTTGATTTCGGCTCAGGTCATGATCTCACAGTCCGCGAGACTGAGCCCCACATCGGGCTCTGTGCTGATGGTACAGAGCCTGCCTGGGATTCTCTTTCTCCCTCTCTCTCTGACCCTTCCCTGCGTGCACACGCTCTCCCTCTCTCTCAAAATAAACCAATAAGCACTAAAACAAAAAGAAGAAGAAAGAAAGAAGCAAGGAAAGAGAGAAAGAAACAAAGAAAGAAAAAGAAGGTTCATTTGTAATGATCATTGTTCTCCGATCACTGGCAAGTAAACACCATCCCTATGGCTCAGTGTAATCACTGGTGAAACGTCCAGCAGTGGGCAACCGCTGAGCGTAGCTGAAAAACAGTTAAAATTACATGTAAATTGGAAGCAACGTGTTTTAAATTATTCGCTAATTTATGGGACATGGTAGACAGGCTCAAAGGTGATCTCCGCGATCTGTACATCCCTGGGGTTCCCATCGTTGTGTAGGCTCCTCTCTCTGAGTGTGGACAGGACCTATGACCTGCTTCTAACCAAGAGAATGTGGCAAAAGACATCATTCTCATGAATACATTGTGTCATACAGCATTCCTGAGAAATGAAAGGAGTGTTTCATTACTACCTAAATCACAGAATAGCAAGTTATAATATTACCTATTTAAAGATCAAATTTCAGAATTATGGAGTAGCTCTTCTAATAATTTCGCTTACTGTAGCCTGCTGTGTAGTTTCTGGAGAAGGTCTCTCTCTCTTTTTTTTTTTTTAAAGGGAACACCTGTAGATTGACACCTACGGGGTACAGGTTATCTTCTTGGACTAATGTAAATGTTCAAAAACTGAGTACACAAGTCTGAATACAAGAAAGTACACAACTCTGAATACAATACAACTGAACTGTACAGTGTAAGGGGTGAATTCTATGGGATGTGAATTATATCTCAATAAAGCTGCGAAGACAGAAGATGGAGGGCAGAATGTGGTCACCACCCACAGTCCATTTTCTCATTTAGACTGGAAAAAAGTTGTGGAAACCACAAAAAAAACATGCTATGGTTATGCCATCATGAAGGTGTGTTCATGGAGTCTTTGCTCCTACCAGGCTGGCAACCTTTCCAGCAAAACTGAATCAATTTCACAGCTATTGTTTTAAGAGTTAGTGGCTTCCAAAGAAGGACTGGATAGAGATACAGCGCTGTAGTGACCACACCTGGAAGCCTGACCTGACCCTTTACCCTCACACTATAGCAGTCAACCAGTGAAGCAACTGTACTGAGTGCCCGAAACCTTAGTGGTGGTTTTCTATGGAGGCAAATGTGTCAATCAAGATTTAAGTGTTACTTCTATTAGGCATATCAGAAATTCCCAGTCATTTCATTATTAATTTCTTACCTGAAAATTAGTTCAGCTCAACTCCACAAATCTGTAAGCGATCCCCAATGCCTTTCTCTGCCTCATCAGTAACTAAGTTCAGCCTATGACCTCTTCTTTACTCTTACATTCAGCCTTCTAGTATATGTGCTGCCGAAGCGAGCACAACATTCAGCCTTCTAAAATGCATGGTAAGTGTGGTCCACATGAGCAATTCTTAACCCAGACATCTTACCCATTCCCTCTGTTGGGCTTATTCAAGAAACAAGCAAGCGATGGAGGTTCCAAGTCTGAAATTAACCCAAATCTCATACAGAAACACAACCCCAGCCCCATATCTAACCACCTACGCAGAAAAGTCCCTAAGAAAATCGGTAACGTTCTCCTCTGGATCTAGAGGTCTTCAACATGGAAACAAATTTTAATAGTTTTTGTTGTAAGAAGACCTGTAATTAGACAATCAAGTGATACACACTCCAGTTAACAAGTGAGCTATACACTTACATATTTAATGCCTACAGATCACAAATCAGATTTAAAGAGTACCCCTCTTGAATACAGTATTTCCAACAGGATGTACTTGGGGATAGACCTCAACACCAGGGAAGCGGTTTAGATACAGACTGATGTCACCATAAAATATTTTCTCTTATATAAAGGGAAGTAGGAGTTGAGTGGCAATAATAAACCTTGGTGATATCTACAGACACCAACATGAAAGATTAAAACCTAAAAAGAAAAAAAATGGATCCATTTTATTAACCAATTTGAATCAAACTTGAAAAAAATCGGTTCGTGGACACAGTGCATCTTACCACCAGATTCGCTAATTAACGTGAATGGACTGGGTCCGTGTCCCCTGAGGTCATATCGTCATGTTCCAAAGACTATGCTCCCTGGCCTTGTAAAGGGATGCCATATGAATGACTGAAAAAAATCAGAGGTTCTAGGCCTTCCCTCTTCTACTCTTTCAGGGAACCCTCATTCCCCTGCCCCCCCAGGCTTCATCTTTCCACGGAGAGGGATCTGGTGTCTCACCTGAGCCCTTACGGGCTGACCAGAGAACACGAATAAAGAAACTGAACACACTCAGGTCAAGTCCTCTCTTTTGAAACCAGCCTTCCTACACGGAGGGTACGGATGCTCTGGGTATCCCTCTGTCATGCATTATGAGAGGCTGCCACTCACAGGATGGGGAAGTCTAATTACATGAGGCCACGAGGAGGAGTCAGCAAACTATTCAGGTCTCAAATGCAGAGCTACATTTCCCATTTTGTCAAGAATAAGACAGGGGTAGGGGCTCCTGGGTGGCTCAGTCAGTTTAGCGCCTGGCTCTTGATTTCTGCTCAGGTCATGATCTCACAGTTCGTGAGATCAAGCCCAATGCCGGGCTCCGTGCTGACAGTATGGGGCCTGCTGCAGAGTCTCTCTCTCCCTCTCTCTCTCTCTCAAAATAAAGAAACAAGCATTTATCAAGGATAAGACAAATCTTACCATCTCTCTCAATTGGTGCCCAATACAAAGGGAATGAAGCCTTTTCCATTTTTTAACTAGACTTCTAGAGAACCAAAAACCAAGATTTTCAAACATTTTCACAAAGTATTAGACAGTAATAAAACGAAATGCAACCGTGCAATTCCTAGGGTTCAAAGAAAATATAACAATTTCAGGGTGACCTCAGAGTCTCCAGACACCAAGAATTTCACCGCTTTGCAGCTAACCCTATAAACTAAAGTCAATTCCCTTTGGCCCCCTTGTACAAGTGCTCAGAAAGACAAAAGACAAATACTTTTGGTGACCTGAGTCATAGCTGTAGCTTCAAAGTCCCAGTTTATTCCACTTCTAGAAAAAGCTCACCCAGAGTCTCAAGGGCAACAAGGAGATCACGTGCAGTCTGCCGACTGCAATTTCTGTCCTAAGATACAATTTCTGGGGGCACCGGGGTGGCTCGATTGGTTGAGCATCTGACTCTCGATTTCGGCTCAGGTCAGGATCCCAGGGTCGAGGCAGCAAACCCCGCACCAGGCTCCACAATGAACATGGAGCCTGCTGGAGAGTCTCTCTCTCTCTCTCTCTCTCTCTCTCTCTCTCTCTCTCCGCCCTCCTCCCCAGCTTGCGCTCACTCTCTCTCTCAAAAATAAAAATGTTAAAATTTTAAACGTTTTAAAAAAATTTTTTTAAAGATATAATTTCTGTCCTAACTAAATAGCAGGCCTAGAGAAGAAAATT